TCGAGTACATAGTAGGCATAATCTACCAACATCTAAACAGTGCTTGAATTGGAAAAAAACACGAAGAAGGATGCTGAGGGTATGGTAAAAGAGGGGCTGAAGATTGCTGTAAAAAATAAGAAAACGAATGGGTTGTTACGAGTTAAGAATATCTCATGCATGCAGAAAATACTGATGAAGAAAATCGCACTTATTCGATATCACTCATATTATTTAGTTTTTCCGATTTAATTTTAGTTCTATAAAATTCGATGAATACTGCATTTCATTTGCATTATTTACCTACGATTATTTGCACTTTGACAGTCATTATAAAATATGTTTGGTTTTGATAAAATAGAATATTATTATTTAGCATGACTGCAAGCTGAACTTTTTTTTTATTCACAAACAAATTTATAAAAAATGGTTTGTGGTTAGAAAAACTATTTTATTATATACATTTATTTATTAAAACAATACACGATGCATAATACGATAAATTTAAACTGATTTTTTAGCTATACATTTCACATTGTTGTAATGCAAACCGGTTGAAGAGAATATTTTTTAGTCTTTTAATAACATATAAATCTTTAAATTTTTCTGTTTGAAAACAATAGAACCAAACGCATGTATTTAAGATGAGTTTAAATATTGCTTTTCAACCATCGTTCGTTCAATCATAAAGTGGTTTAGTTTTCCAAATACAAAATCCCACCATAATAAGACCCACTGTAATACTTAAAGTAATGTAAGCTAAACTTTTTTGTACTAATCAATCGTTATTTTATATTATTAAATTATATTAATAACAGTTAACAAGAATTGATGATACTAAACTTTAAAATGTATAATAGTAGCATATTATATTGAACTAATATGCCTTCCAACTAAATTATTGACACAAAATTCTCGATTGTTATAGATATTATATTAATAAATTGTATTTAACATTACAAATTTTAACTTACATGCAATTAACTAATAGTATAGCTTTGCATAATATGACTAATGATCATTAATAATTTTTTTGCAAAGATCGTCGAATCGGACAGAAAATTGGGATTTACTCTCTAATTTCTACTTACAAGTTACAACAATTTCAATTTTGAAGAGTAGTAATTACATTTTTAGCTTAAAACTTATTCCAATTGAAGTACAAACGTGCGTTAAGAGGAATTTGAATTTTACGCAAAACTCTCGTGCGTCCTTATAGTCACAAGACTACAAGACAACAATCATTTATTTCGCACTGGTAAATTACATTAAAGCATTCCTTTGTTATCGAATTTCTCTTTGAATATATTTAATTCGTTTTAATTTACTTGTATATTATTATGTCGAGAATGAACTTAAAAAATATTACAAAATAGTTTTTGGACTGTATATTGGACCTTCATAATTACATTTTTGCACAATAATATGACCCAGCATATAATTATACACTTTTAATCGATTAATTTATTAGCTACTAAATTTGTTAAAATACAGTTTTTTTTTCTGAATTCATTCAATTTATAGTTTGAATTTAAATACAGTTTATTTATATTTATTTGATAAATACTTGCTTTACAGTCGATCGGATAGGTAATGAATACCATTTTTTGCATTATTATTTTCCATAAAATATCTATAAACTAGTTACAGTTTAAAAGCGATTAAGACAATTAGGTTTATTTTTTATTTAAAGAATGTTTAATAGTGTAATGTTTGTATTTTTGTTTATTAAGCTCCTAGTAAATTACATTTTAATATGTTATAGTTGCATATTATTAGTAGCTACTTCTGTCGAAACATAAAAAATGTTTATTACATTTTATATTCTAATAATTATTATGAATATTATAGAATATTAACTGTGCAAAATATGATAACAATTTTATAGTTTTAGGGTGGAGTTGCGGTCAACATCACACTCGTAATAATATTATAGCGAGTAGTTAATGATAATAATAGACAATAGTATATATACTGTTACCTGACAATGGTAATATTATAATTTAAGCGAATGCCATTTGATATACTGTAATATGTAACGAGAAGCCGAGAAATATTACTGTTGGTTAATATTTTTTAATAAATGGGAATATGTAAAATTTATTTATTCGTTACATAAAAAGGATCTGGTAGATGGCAATAATTTTAATTATACTGCCTCGATAACTTTAAAAAAAAAAGAGAGAAACATACTTATATACGAGCCTATTACGGTCGTACGAATTAATATTACATAGCACTGTATGCAGCTAGGTATATTATGTTCAAACCTAAACAGATCTTCATCAATTCCGAGGCGTTTTCGGTAGACGTATATTATGTATTGATACTCTGGACACCTTTTACCCGAATTTTCGATGAACTGATAATAACCGGTTCATGAAAAAAAAATAGTCTTGTAGTTGTTTTTGTTATATTAATATTATTTTATTATTTCTCTGTCCGTTTAGTGTACACCTACATTATAAACACGACGGCATATTCGAATCATTTATTAGGGCCTTACCCTAATACAAATCTATGTAAATAATATACGTTTTGTAAAATCAAACGATATCGTTAATTTTAGAGAGTACGAGAATTTTCCTCTTTAGATTTCGAATGTTTAAAAGTGCTTTTTATTATACATTATGTACAGCAGTTAAATATTGTAAAGCCTTAAACGTACGTACAGTTCCCCAATAATTTCAAACCTTATTAAATTGAATTAAAATAGTAACATTATTTGTATACCGGTGCAAAACAACGAGTAGGTAATGACTCGTATCTCATTTTAGACGATTTATATGAATAATACGCGTGCATAAGAGCTAAGATTTAATTATATATTCTAAAAATAAATTGATTGAAATTTAAGACTTTAATTAAAAAAGTTTGTGTTTGCTGCTATTCAGCTAATTAATTTCACTCCTAAACTATTATACGAGCATATAGTTTTTGCAATGTATATATATATGTACTTAAAAATATCAAAAAACAAAATAAACTAGCAATATTAAAGTGATTATTTTAATGAATATAACATAACATGCACCACGTCAACGCATATACATACAACGATGTAAATGTTATTTAATATTATTATGCTCGGTATATTTAAATGTGTTTGATAAACAAATAATAATTTGCTAAACCACATAATCAAATATGAACATTTTTTTATTATAATTAATGTTTTTTTATAAACATTAAATCAAATCCCTATTTGTATTTAATAAAATAATTTTTATATTTTACCTGATTAACAGTCAACACCCTGGAATCATTTAATTTGCCCGTTACAACATGTTATGATATAGGTCATATTAAATTTATGCTCGACAATTAATTACAAGTTTATGAAAAATTGATCTTATTTCTGCAGTCTTACCCAACCCTTAAAATATAATTCTGCAAACAGATTTTTTTAATTTTTAGTTTTCGTCACAAGGCTTTTAAGATTATTATTTTTTAGTATGATGGCCTTACAACTGTCCACATAATATTGTAACAATTCATTTTTATTTTTATTCTTGACTCAGTTTTATAAATCGAAATATACAATATGAATTCAATTTAACTTTATAATTTTATTGTTTAGAAGTATGAAAAAAAATAATAACTATTAATCATCGAACAGTTGTGCTTAGCGCCATAACATAGTTGATAAATAGTATTGTGCAAAAACAATATACATCTGATTTTCGAATAATTATGTCACCCGTTTTATAAGTGTAAGATTTGAATTTTGATTTTTTACAACACAAAAGAGTAGACTAAGAATAATAATTAGTGAGGCGGAAATATATTTTTTTCTCCAAACACGTATATCGGTCGATAAATTAATTAGGTCAAAATGGTGTAATGAATCCTCTAGCTAGAAATTTCGCATGGCAATTAAACTGCGTTAGTTACAATGTCTTGGATGGATGGTGCACTAGGGATTTTTAAACAAATACAACATATATGTATAGAGTTACCTTCCACTGACACAAATTATATACATACTGTGACAGGGGTAGGTTATAGAGATAAAATTATTATTTACACAAACGAGTGTCCTTATATAAAACAGTTTTAGGTACAATTATGGTTAAAGTTTTCAATTGTATTCTCAATAATTTATTATACAAAGTGAGAAGGTAAAACTTTTTCAAATTTCACAGTATTTCTTCCAACACATTTTGTGCAAAAATGAGTAAGTCTAGGTCAACTTATACAGGTGTTTTATCCTTAGTCTTATCTCTATAATATAATTTTAAAACTGACGTAATTATTGAAATAGATAAAACAAAATTAAAAAACACTAATTATTACAATTCAGAGTCATTTAGGTTGTCTACTTATATTATAATTAAGCTGTTTGTACGTATTTACTATTTTGTCATTGGTAATAATAAGGGTTGTATACAATTAACCATATACCTACTTTGCTATTATATAAGATGTGATAACTGTGTGTCTCTGATTAAGATAAAATAAAATGTTGTGAAACAATGAAAAAATATTAAATACAAAGGGGACATACTTTATTACTGCTTTTTGTGTCATAATTTATAATTGGGTTATAATATATATGATTATGAGTTAGGAATAGAAATTAAAAATGTTCTTATAAATTTTCATGCTGTGATAATGATTATCATTATTCATACTATATAAATTATTATAATCAAGATTTTACAAAAAATATTTACATTTTCATCATGCTCGATAATTTGTTGATTGTAATATCTACTCAATGAGAAATATTGTTTACTTATTATAAATAATTTATGACATTATCTTAAATACCAATAGGATACTTATAATATTTGATCACTTTTTCAATTGATGTTCAAAATGCAAAAATATATTTTGCACATAATTGGTGGTTTACTTTTTCCGCTCGGAAGTTCGGTCTTGTGTTGCTATATTTCTTAATCTTATCTCGAAAAACATTGTTGAACCTAAATTAAACCCGAATATTTTTGTATAAGAAAATCGTTACTGTTTCGAAACATATAGTTTATTGTGTAGTCATTGAATGTTTATTATTTCAGGGTATTGGCAAGCGCTTTTGGTGCCCAAGTGATTTGCAACAAGATAGTCGGACTGACGGCTGGTCAACGGAGGATTTGCGCCGCTGCGCCTGACGCAATGGCCGCCGTCGGTCACGGCATACGTATGGCTAAACAAGAATGCCAACAACAGTTTAGCACACATCGGTGGAACTGTACGGGACCGTCAAAAGGCAACCCGTTTGGACATTTACAAATCACTGGTAAGCTATAAGATATGGATGGATAGGTCTACTTTCCGAAGTCACTAATAAATACATTTATTTGCCATATTTGATCCACAACACGCGTTAAAATACTATGTATGTGTGTGTGTGTACTATACATTTGCACCAACATTTACTCAAAATATAAACACCATATTGTGTGATTTGTCCCAACATTTTTTAAATGCGTTTGTAATCTGCACCGAAATAGAAATATAATGTAATCCGAACCATCTCAGGTAGGAAGTAAGAAGCACGAATTATAATTTGTTGCAAAATTAAAATCGATTATTCTTTTGATAGTTTACCTACATACATGTTTTGATAGAGTTTATAAGACCATAAGATATTGAGATATGAGAAGTTAATAAACACAGAATATTCCATTTTAGTTCCTGAGAGGTTATTTAACAGTAACCTATATTCACACCGTTCTATACGGTACGTCAGTATTGATTTAAACCTCCTATAACAATAATAATATAATATGTTAAAAAAGACATATAATATTCTAATAATTAATAATATATTCAATATATATTTTTTTTTTGTTAAAAATGAATACTTATACCAACTGTGTAATAATAGTAATAATGGGATCATCACGAATAGGACATCAGAATTTATAATTATTTCTTGATGATGATTTCTGGATGGGTAGTTCGAAATTCCGAAAAATGAATTACTATTTTTTTTTGTTATTCGAGACCGTTGAGTTTTTACGTCAACCAGACATATCTTATAAAATATAAGAAATTATTGTTTGGATAGGAATAAATAATGATAATCATAGAAAAATATAACGTAATGTTAAAATGTTCCTTTTAATATTTTACAATACATTATACTCACGATAAAATAACCATCACCACTATGAACGCACACCTAAATATAAAATATTACTTTGATAATGTATTATTGTCAAAATCTCGGTCAGCAACCGATAGGTTCCATCAGTGCGCAAATCAAACCACGAATACCTATTTCGATAACACCCTCTTCGCAGCCACACGCTTCCAGCCAGCATGCGTTATCGATTCGTCGCGACTTACAATACCGACCTGTTGTCACTGTATAATATTTGTAAAATTTATTATGGCAAAACAAAATCGTGTGTACCTACCTACCGATACCGTGATTAAGGCGATTATCAGCTATCTGGATTATATATTATAATATATACAAACATTACGGCTTGGAGTGAAGGAGGGTTATCGATTATACCTAGATTAGGTATATTAATACATAATATACATATTTTAATGTTATATTATATGCGTAAGCAGTGGCTATAAGAGTAGGTCGGCGTTTGTTTACATTGGTTAAAAGAGATTACCGAATCTTTGAAATGTAAATATTTTGAAGTGCCGCCACGAACCCATCAAACACGCGCTGTGTATTTAATATTATTATATAGTATATACGAGTAGGTTGTAATGGTATATACCTACCTACAATACCTACTTCTCTTACACTATAACTGTATATTAGTGTATGACTATGTACAACGTGATGTGTATATTCTATGTACTCACTTTTATCTAAACTATGAGTAATTTCAATAAATATCATATTTTAATATCGTATCACGTACATTACATACATATTTATACATTGAAACTCTCGGGGTACACATCTTTGTTGCGGCTTGATGCAATAGATTGGTGTGACAAAAATAAAAACATATAACACATAATGTCGTGTTGGGTAAAAAATTAAATATAAAAAATTGTTGTAGAAAAAATTATAATGAAATTCTCTGATAGAATTGTAATAATGATGATGTGTGCATTGTACACGCGTTGCTTCTCGTAAAAAAAGGTATAAACGAATTGCGTCCCAAAAGACCTGGAATGCAATTCGTGTATTTTAATCAGGGTTTTTTAAACAGTTAATAATTAAATAGATGACAATTTGACTGTCGAATGTATAATACATTTAACAAAAAAAGTACCGTTTAATCTAATTAAAATCAATATGTTGAACAATATAATATAGCCATATGGGAAGTTAGGTAATACATTTTAAAAAATATTATAAATATAATATTATGATGTTAATCATAATTCAATTGAAAATTTGTTTGGGGAATGTGACAGAAAACCTTAAAATACTTCGAGTTACTTAAATCCATCAACAATGAATAATAATATAATAAAATACATGTATCATTAAAATATAACCATAGTTCATATATCAATTAAACATGCATTAGTCAAAAATTAGATTTATACTTTTACATCATTTTTTATTATTTATTTTACATGTATTCTTTTATAAATTTACAAATTCTAACCTTGATGTTTTATTCTCTTTACTCCATCTAAGTTGATTTCGTTGGCAAGTTTAGTAATTTTTACTTGGATCCGGATATAAATTATTCGAGAAACAAAATCCATCCATGTTTATCTGTTTATCGTAATTTATAATATAATGTATAATATATCTTGCAATGTAATATTAAAGCCCAGCACACCCTTATAAATACACCACTGAGAACCCTCAAAAACATAAAACAAAATTATACTTCCTGACCTAAATAGTGGGACGTAAATTTGTGTACCTGAACCTTTTTTTCTTAATGTAACCATACAATTCAAACACCTAATAATAGCTTAGAATTCTATTCAATGTCATCCTTCCGGTACATGTACCATTTTCAAAATAATTTCAATAATCAATATTATATTATTATTAACACTATGATCCATATATAAGTGTATCTTAGGGAGTTATTCACTTCCGATGAAAAAAACAATAATTCACAATTATTCGTTGTTCTGCATAAACTATCCCTGAAATTGGACCATACAGTGAAGGGCGAAATATTAAAACGTACTATTTACCATAAAGCAAACCTTTTTTATTTTTGGCAGAAACAATAGTTGGTGAAAACGATAATTTGATTTTTGGTGAAAACATGGCACGCTTAAATCATGAATCTACCTATATTATAGTGTATTTATGCAATAATGCATCGTAGTTATCTACGATTTTGTTTGCATGTTGAGTTTTGGTCTTAATATTTATTGTAACTATTTTGTTTTATCTTGAAAAATTTTTCGTGTATAGTTGTATTAAAAAAAATCGGACAATTAAAAATATTGTAAGTAAACCTTTTTACACCTACCGGTTCACGTTTAGGAATCAATAATATCAATCGAACAAAAAAAAAACTTGGTAAAACCGGGTGTGATAGGTGTCTGATTTATGTGAATAGGAGTGTGTCGATAATTGCCAATAAACATAAGATACATATTCAAAAAAATAATAAATAATAATACCTTTGAGCAATTTCGGAAAAATATCGAAATTAATTAATGATTATCATAAATATTTTTATGTAAATCATAATTTTTATTTTATTTTACACAAAACGACGGTCGATATCCCTACAACGTTTATACGCGTGGTGTACTTATACATCATATTATAATAGGTGGTTTAATATTCAACGATATTCTAGATTTATGTTTTGTGTGCAGTGTGACCCGTGAGGGGGCGTTAAATCGTTGTCCATACTGAAATCCCCTCTCAAAAACAAAAATACAAAATATTGGTACTAGGTATGAAGACACACTCGTTTCTATGGTGAATTATCATCATCATTGATCATCAATGCACGTGTTTGGCATCACCTGCAAAATCTTTCCCATCACCTACGTATATTTTTACGAATACAGTTGTTATTTCGGCTAAACGACCATTTAATATTATTTATCTGCAACAAGTTCATGATTAAAATTCGATCAGAAATAAAATAATTTGCACCTACGCTGTACACCTCGAGCGTAGTGATATATATATATATATACGTCTACAATTATACATGATACATGATATTATCACAATAATATAATTTATTTGTTTTTAGTGATAATATTTGAGATTAGGTGTGTAATGCAGGACGGTGAAATAATAATTTTCGTTCAAGTCCAAAGAAATATTTGGAACTCACTGTGTGTCGGGAGTGATGAAAATGCAGCTTTTTTTTTAAAACTTAAGTCAGTGTAAAATTTAAAGTAACTATGTTTCAAGACGTTAACTATTCATACTCTTTCAGTCACCCGTGTAAGGTTAAACGCAATATTTTCTTTACGCGTTTAGCACGATAACAATGTAGCAGTAATAATATGCATAATATTCCAGTGTGATCCATTTAAACACACATAGACACATAGTATTGTACTTTGAAATGATCTACAAAGTTGGCGAATATTTCCTTAAATATTCGGAGAAAACAACCATCAAACAAATTCCTAAGCAGCTGGTAAAATTGATGCGATATTTTATAGTATTATACGACGCGTATTAAAATAATATTATTAATATTATGTCTTACGTTACACAAACACACACACACACACACACACACACACACACACACACACACACATATTATACGTTAGCTTATACAGTCTTATATAGTCGTTGAGCTTATACTAATAATATGAAAATGTTACACAATAATCTCCATTATTCGCCTTATTAAAAAAAATATAAACATTTATATATAATATATATATGCCATAGTGGATTAGGTACATCGTTAAAAGAGATCTAAATGGGCCACTATTATACATACAGAGTGATTCTATGTAATCATTGAACAGTCATTTTCTTAGATGTTTTCAAAAACATTTTTATTTGTAAAATAATTTAGTTTGATGACATTACTCATTATAGCACAATATTTTTCAAAAAAAATGTGCAACCATTCGCGTTCAGTGGTCAATTATTAGGTAAATATGAATCGTGAAAACTTACTCGAGTAGGTTACGATAAATTGTGGGTCATTTGACAGGATTTCATTACGATGAAAATACGATATAGTAGTGATTTGCAGTTAATAAATATTAAGAAAGATGTCGAGGAGCGAAGTCAAACTTGATTATTAGTTCAAGTGATCGATATTATCATCCATGAATTGATGTAGTAGTATGATAATTAATATGCAAAAACGTATCATTTATATTAATTACAGTGACATTGATTGA